CGGAGGCCGGGCTGGAGTCTGGAGGGAGGTGGCGGGGACAGTTTGTTGTGCTCGGAACATGGCGGGCGTTGGCGGCGCGGCCGCCCCGGGAGAAGGCGGCGGCGGTGGTGCGGACGGCCCGGAGCGAGGTGGCCGCGGCGAGGCGGAGCAGCCGGGCGGCAGTGGCGGCCATGGGCCCCCGCCAGCGCCTCAGCATACCGAGACGCTGGGCTTCTACGAGAGCGACCGGCGACGCGAGAAGCGCCGTAGCCGTGCAGGTGAGGAGGGCGGGCGGGCGGCGCTAGGCCGCGGCGTGGGTTCGAGGGGCTGGCTGGCCGCGGCTCGGAGGCCAGCGGCGGCCGGAAACTGACGCGCAGCGGACGTCCAGTCCGCGAGCCCCGGGCAGCCGGGGAAGCCGGGGCTTTGGGCGCTGAGCCGCGGCCTCGGAGATCCCGCGACTTCCGTGGCTGAGCGGCCGCTGACAGCTCTTCGAGTGGGTTTGTAGCGGCAGCCAGGGCCCCCGGGACAAACGCCCGGTCAGGTGTGTCCGAGAGGGAGGGCCGCTGCCCCCCCAAGTTCTGTCCTAGCTCGGTTTACTACTTTCGAAAAGGTGTTCAAAAAAATAAATAAAAAAGGCTCGCGGAATCTGTGCTCCTTGCTCAGGTCGGCGAGCATCTTCCACATCCAATGAAGCCAAAAATGCCAGCGCGCGCGGCTGATGTCTTAAGTCCATTCATGCCAAGGTGACTTTTTGGTTGTGTGTTTTAAGCGAACTTGAGTCATAGAAACCTCCAAAGACGGTTTTTACAGCCGCAGCTCACAATGCTGTAAGGACTGTGAAGTTCTGTAGTTTTACCCTGAACAGAAGGATTGAGCGCTCCTCAGAATGTGGCCTGTGAACTTTTCCTAAACTAAAACTTAAAAAAAAAAAAAAAAGCTGCGTAAGACAAGACGCGTTTATGAGCTCTACTTCAGTTACCGGTTTTAAGCATATTGTTGTAATATTCCAGTTCCTTTTAAGCTGTAGGGCTTAGTCATCTTTTTTAAAATTGCATTTGCACTTACAAGAAAAAGGAAGAGTTTGAGAGGGACTGTTTCATTGAATGTAGAATGATTTCGGCATTTTAAAATTCTTACGTAATTCTGAGTTTTGAACAGCAGCTGAACTACAATCCATTGAAGTTTTTCAAGCTAAAAAAATTGCTTCTGGTGCTCAGTCATCAACAACAAAAACCCAAACCCACAGCCATCGAATGGATTCCAACTCATAACGACCCTGTTGTTCTTGTTACGTACCGTGGAATCGACCCCGACTCACAGCGACCCCTCCTTGGGTTTCCGAGGCGGTATCACTACGGAAATAGATTGCCCAACCTTCCTTCCCAGACTCTCAATAAGGGTTGTATTAGAGAATTCTGCAGTTCATGCAAATGAACTTATAACTTGTAAAATACACTGCCTCGTTGATTGTAGTAGGTGTTGAAATTGGACAAGTACTTAACTGCCAGAGAGCTGAGCAAATAAGAGTCCCATTGGTTTATTAAGTCTTGGAACTAACTAGTCTGAGGTTAGATTTTTTAAAAGTTTCATATGCTTGAAAATGAAGTCCAAACTGTGCTCTGTTAAGTCCTTTTCAGTTTACCATTTAAAAACTGTCAAACAGACTTTATTTGGATAAGTTGTCAGTTAAACACTTGCTGGCAATGGTATTTACTTTCCAAATTGGCATGCTGTATGTAAGGCTAACAAGGAGCCCTGGTGGCACAGGGGTTAAGTGCTAGGACAGAGTGGAACTGCCCATGGAGTTTTCCAGGTTGTAAATCATTATGGAAGCAAATTGCCATATCTTTCTCCCATGGAGCAGCTGGTGGGTTCCAACCACCAACCTTTAGTTGCCAAGCACTTAACTACTGTGCCACCAAGGCTCCTTCCAAGGTATTAAGAGCGCTTATAAATAAGACTTTTGTTGGCCTGTCCTAACAGCCTTGCTGTTATTTGTGGTGACTCCTGGTGACCTTATCTATAACAGAAGGAAAAGTGCCCAGTCCTCAGTACCTAAATGAATATGCAGATCAGGTGCTTATCCAAACCCTCTCCACCCAAGTTACATAGATCAAAATAAAGTACAGTGCATGAGATTCGTATTTTTGTTTTATACTTGTCCTTGTTCATTTATATGTTTAGAAAATATATATTCATTTGTGTATGTGCAGCTGTATATACCATATACACATATCTACATAAAGTGTAAGTTTTCTATTTTTCTTTTCAAACTCTTCTATCACTTGTTTTCCAGGACTCCTTTTTTTGACCATACATGTGTATATACATGTGTGTGTATATATAGATATATAATGTGTGTGTGTGTTGATGGATGAATGGATAGATGGATGGCCTGGCCAACTGAAACTTCTCAGATGCTAGTCCTTACACATCACTTATTCCTCCTTCTCTCTCTCTCTCTCTCTCTCTCTCTCTCTCTCTCTCGGAATGGTCATTGTGTACTCCTGTTGCTTTATGTGGTTAACCTTGAACATGGGATTAGTGGTCATCAGCAGGAACTTCATATTGATCTCTTGTAGATTTTTTTTCCCCACTCTTAAAAATATTACCAACTTCTACTGTAATTTTTTATATTATATTAGATAATAAGTATATACTGTCATATTTTTGAAGGAGCTCTGGTGGTACAGTGGTTAAAGCATTTGGCTGCTAACCAGAAAGTTGAGGGTTCGAACTCACGAGCTGCTCCACAGGAAAAAGATGAGGCAGTCTGCTTCAGTAAAGATTTACAGCAGTGGGAGCCCTCTGGGGCAGTTCTGCTCTGTCCTGCAGGGTCACTATGAGTTGGAATTGACTCGATGGCCGTGGGTTTTGGGTTATAGTATTTTTGTGCTTGCTCCCCACTCCACTTGCTGACAAAAGTTTCTAGGTGGGGGAGTGCCCATATAAGCCACATTCTCAATTAGGAATCTAAGTCTAGCAAGTCGACTTTGGACTAAGGGTTAGGTAATTTGTGTTCTTGGTTTGGTTCAGTTGAATTGCTTTGCAGGCTCTGCTTAGCTGCTTGCCTAATCCCTTCAGCTCTGTTTTATAACGTCACCATTAAGTAGTTAGTATCTGCAGGATCTAATCGGGTTCTAGTCACCTTAGAGCTGAATAGTAGAAGGTTGGTGTATAAGAAGTAGTCACCTGCTGAGAGGATGAAACAGTACGCAGCATTGGAGTGTGCATAGGAGTGGGTATTGATTGTAAAACAAAAGGAAGCCTAAGGTCAGGTGTGGGGGAAGAATATTGTTTGTGATTGTGACAGTGCCATGGCCTGTTCTCTTTCTGGTGGCACCTCTTCACTTGTGGAGTATATATTTGGGCACAATTCGTTTGTTTTGCCACTCTTCTCTGCCTTTGTCCATCTTCAGATCTCTCATTTTCTCTCTACATGAGGGTTAGCAGAGGCAGGGAGAGAGGTTGAAACCCAGAAAAGCCAGTGGACACTTGGTTAGTTGCCACAGCAGCTTTGGTGTGGGGCGGAGGCAGTCTTCTTGTATTATCTGTGTATTTTCCTTTCACGAGCCTTCACCCTCCATAGTCTTTGTTACATAAAGCCCCATGCTTATCCTGATGGTTACTTAAAGGCTGTCTGGTTCTGAAATTACGCTCTGGTGGATTAATTTCTTATTTACAAAGGAAAACAAAGGTAATTGTAAAACTGGCTGAGTGATTATTGGCAATAACCCCTAACCCTGAAACAGATCAAATAAAACTGGCTTCTCTTTCCCTTGACAAACAATCACTCTACCTTTAAAATTCTCACCTGCTTTGCTTACCTGCGGGAGTTCTGGTGGCGCAGTGCCTGAGGCAATTGATTGCTAGCCAGAAGGTGGGTGGTTCAAACCGCCCATTGCTCCATGGAAGGAAAATGAGGTAGTCTGTTTCTGTGAAGATACATTTACAGCCTTGGAAACCCAGTGGGGGTCGCTATGAATCAGAATCAATGACAGTGGGTGTTTTGGTTTATTTACCTCCTAAGGAGCTCTGGTGGCACTGTGGTTAAAGCACTCAGCTGCCAACCAAAAGGTTGGCAGTCTGCCAGTCTGCAGGAGAGAGATGAGGCAGTCTGCTTCAGTAAAGATTGACATCCGTAGAAACCCCATGGGCCAGTTCTGCTCTGTCCTGTAGTCAAGCAGTGAAAAGGTATTCACCTTGGTCTTCAACAAGTTGAGTGTCTTGGCTTTTTAAAATGTTCAACTCATTTCCCTTCCAGAGTTCAGCCCTAGCAGTTTGTTTGTGAGCCAGTGTGGGAACATGTACGTAGAACAAGTTTCCAGAAACCCTTCACCTTGGATTAGTCACATTCTGTTCCCATTTTGGGGTCTGCCCTTGGCCTAGTCACTATTTCTCATCAGTTCATGATCTTTTATCTATTCTTTAGGACCCTACAGGAGAGTACTTACAAACAGTTCTTTGAGGGTCCCAGGAACTTGCATATACTGTATACCCTGGTACCTTTATTTGCATCTGACTTAGGAAGGCAGAATTGTGTTGCATTGATTGCTAGAAGAAGTGTGTCTGAATTGGCTTGTAGAAGGGTATGTCTCTATATTTTCTTGAAAAATTTAAAGCAATTAAATTTTTTAATTTTCAAGTTTTAAATTATTTAAGGCTTTGGAGAGTCATATGTTTCTGTCTTTCTTTTTATACCAGAATATTTATGGCACAACCAGGGTTAAACTCTAAAGATGAATTGGTTGCGGCAGCAGCCGCCCTCTTCTCTCTGTGCTCCTTCATAGACTGCCCACTGGGATCCGCGGGGCAGTTTTTAGGTGTCCCATTGATGGTCCTGGTGGTGGTCCATCTTTGAGCCCTGGCACTCTTGTGTGCTGTCTCTTACCCTTGGCAGCATAGCCATGTTTGCCACAGGCTGATTTCTGAAGGGGTGGACCTTAGAGCCACAGTGGTGGCACAACTGGGCGTCTTAGCGTGACGCTTTCCAAGCGATGCCTTCCCTTCGTCATCTCACCTCTGTGGCCAAGACCAAAGAGCAGAGCTTGACACATTTCATAAATGTTTCCTTTTTTTTTTAATGGTCAGTGCTATTTTAAGATAGCTATATTTAGACATATTACCGAACATATAAATGTGTTTATGATTACTCATTACTTTTAATTAATAACTTTGCATATTTTCTTATTTCTGAAAAACCTGTCTCAGAAGATAGTTAAACATAATATTTCTTTTTTTGTGACGAAGAAGCAGAGTTTATACTGTACTGCTTCTC